GGGTTACACTCCCCCTGAAGTCACAGGTCCGCAGTTTGGGAGTCCTCTTGGATTCATCGCTCACGCTTGAGGTTCAGGCGTCGGCGGTGGACGGAAGGGCTTTTGCACAACTGAGACTTGTGCGCCAGCTGCGACCGTACCTCACAAAGGTTGATTTCGCCAGGGTGGTCTATGCCTTGGTCACCTCTAGGTTGGATTACTGTAATGTGCTCTACATGGGGCTGCCCTTGAAAACGGCTCGGAAATTCCAACTGGTTCAACGGGCGGCGGCCAGGATGTTAACTGGCGCCCCTTACAGAGAGAGGCCAACCCCCCTGTTTAAGGAGCTCCATTGGCTGCAGTTTACCAACTGAGCCCAATTCAAGGTGCAGGTGCTTACCTACAAAGCCCTGAATGGTTTGGGACCTGCCTACCTGCGTGACCGCATCTCTGTGTATGAACCCATGCGCTCCCTTAGTTCATCCAGAGAGGCCCTGCTTGTGATCCTACCTGCGTCACAGGCACGTTTGGTGGGGACGAGGGACAGGGCCTTCTCGGTGGTTGCCCCTCGACTCTGGAACACCCTCCCCAAAGACATTAGACTAACACCCACGTTGGCAGTCTTCAGGAAGAATCTGAAGACCTGGCTATTCCGATGTGCCTTTCCAGAATAGGATAATCTCCAGCACTACGTCCCAGAAGCACTTTATTAGAGTTTAAGCCTCTCTGCACATTGCACTTGCCCGGAAATCCAAAATACCACCTGCCACACCCAGCACTTTTAACCTGTACCCATCACTGGCCCGGCCCAGATTTTATTGTGTAATAGTGTAATGTTTTGTTGTGTTATTGCTTATGTTTTAATTTGCGTGCATCATTATTGTTTGTTGTTCTTATGTTGAGGCCTTGGCCTTTGTAAGCCGCATCGAGTCCTTCGGGAGATGCTAGCGGGGTACAAATAAAGTTTAATAATAATAAACTGCTCTGAGTCCCCTCGGGGAGATAGAGAGGTATATAAATAAAGTTTTGTTGTTGTTGATTGGGGTCTGGCTGGAAACCTGAATGAAGAAGAATGGTGAGTATGAATGCTGAATGTATGGATTATGAGTGGATGTTGGAGAGCATATGTGACGTCCTCCATTTTGTCTGTGTGGGAATTGAAGTCCAAAAACACCCGGAGGGCCAAAGTTGGCCCATGCCTGTTGTAACCAATATATCTATTATAAAACCTAGTACTGGAGTCTGTGTCTACTTCTTTCTCTGATACTCTGTCCCATTGAAAAAGAATTAACAAAACATATTTAAGATTCAAAAAGTATTCATGAATGGACTGAATTAAACTAATGTTTGGACCCTGTCTGGGGCCTATTAAGGTCCGGCAAAGCTGAAGACACCATCCTAAAAATGGAATGTGGAAAACAACATTATGGAAAGAGAGGAAAAAGAGGTGAAGAATTTAATGGACTGAGATAAGACAAGTGCCAATGAGAACTGACACGAGAACTCTGATTGCAAACATGTTTACATAGTCAGCAACTCTTTTAAGTTAAAGAAGTTAAACAACCCTGTTCTGGTACGGCTGTACCAGGAGCTCCAATTTTATTTGCTTTGTATTAAATGTTTGCTTGCAGTCCAAGGTTCCAGGAATTCTGCAGATAGGTGGCTTCCTTTGGTTGCAGTCATAGGGCAAGTCACCTGTCCATCATCGTTAAGTTTTGGTCCCGCCCCTTGCTCAGGGCAATTGGGAAGGGAAGGGAGCCATTTTTTAGTTAGTCTCAGCAAGGAGAGTGAATGTACAGGACGTGTGCAAGCTTCCCCTGTACAATAGCTTCAACCCTTAAGACTTTCCGGGGGGAAACAGTCTTAAGAGCAAACCAGAGAACTTCTGGGAAGCCTCCCCAAAGCTTTGAGGACTTTCCGCAGGAGAACAGTCTTAAGAGTCTCCAAAGATTTCCAGGGAAACAGCCCTAAAGACCAAAGAACTCCAGCTGGAGAATCTACTAGCCTTACTGGTAGGTCCACTCGGCGTTTGAGACGCCATTTGACCCGGTAGTGGAGCCCACATCAGTAAGAATTAGATTACAGTCAACCTGGGAGAAGTTAAAAAAGGGGATTTTCCTTTAAAGCAAAGAATTAGTTATTGAAGACAATTGCCTGTCCTTCATGGGCAAGATTAGGAAGCCACCAGTTGCATAAAAGCCTGGAATCATTTGTTTAACTTTCTGAAGACCAGAGAAGTTTCTGTTTGATTGTTCATTAATAAAGGGCTTTGTTATACTTCACAAGCCATCTAAAGACTATTTGTGGTGGAAAACCTCTAAGAACTTCTCTTTGGGGTCCCTGGCTTCCCGCTGGGCAAAGGTTGCACGTCCTGTTCTAAAGGAAATTCTTCACAGGCCCAACGCACGACAGAACAAACCCATCTGTCCTGGAATTGATGGGGCTCCAGCAGGTCTAAGCTGAATGTCAGAGGTTGTCTAAACAACCAAACATCACTACATAAGGAGACTCCTTTCTCTTCGAAAAGTGTGCCAGATCTGCGAGGAATGCAGCATTTTGTCATCCGCCTCCTTCCTCCAAGCAAGCCTGATCAACTTAATGGAGGGATGGTGAGGATGAATGTCGAATGTATGTGGAGTGAATGCTGAGTATAGGTGATGTTTCCCCTTTATTTATGTAACCAATATAACTGTTATAAAACCAAGTACGGGAGTCTGTGCGTCTACTTTTTCTGAAAGGGCCTGATACTTTTGCACAATTGAGACTCGTGCGCCAACTGCGACCGTACCCTCGTAAAGGCTGATCTGGCCGGGGTGGTCCATGCCTTGGTCACCTCTATATTGGACTACTGTAATGCGCTCTATGTGGGGCTGCCCTTGAAAACGGCTTGGAAATTCAAACTGGTCCAACGAGCAGCGGCCAGGATGTTAACTGGTGCTCCTTACAGAGAGAGGACAACCCTCCTGTTCAAGGAGCTCCACTGGCTGCCGTTCATTTTCCGGTCCCAATTCAAGATTCAGGTGCTCACCTACAAAGCCCTTAACGGTTTGGGACCTGCCTACCTGCATGACCGCATCTCCGTCTATGAACCCGCACGCTCTCTTCGTTCATCTGGAGAGGCCCTGCTCACGATCCCACCTGCGTCGCAAGTGCGGCTGGTGGGGACGAGGGACAGGGCCTTCTCTGTGGTAGCCCCCCAACTCTGGAACCCCCTCCTCAAGGACATCAGACAAGCCCCTATGTCGGCAGTCTTTAGGAAGAGCTTGAAGACCTGGCTATTCCGGTGTGCCTTTCCAGAATAGGAAAATCTTAGCAAGAAAATCCCAAAGCACTTTATTAGAAATTAAGATTGTCCGCACATTGCACCTATCCAAAAATCCTTATATATCACTCAGCACACTCAGCACTTTTTAATCTGTACCCATTACATTTGCCCAGCCTAGTTTTATTGTATCACGGTGTGTCGTTTTATTGTTTACAGTTATTGCTTTATGTTTTTTTGATTTGCTTTGGTTTATATGTAATTGTTTTATTGCTGTTTTATTGTTGGCCTTGGCCTTTGTAAGCCGCATCGAGTCCTTCGGGAGATGCTAGCGGAGTATAAATAAAGTTAATAATAATAATAATAATAATAATAATAATAATAATACTCTGTCCCATTGAAAACAGATTAAAAAACAATTTTAAGGTTTAAAAAGTATTCATGAAATACCTGGCCGTCATCGTCTTCGGAGAGCAGGCACACCAGCGAACCGCTCAGCAGGGACTTAGTAGCTGCCGAGCCTGACTTGCCCTGGAAGGTGGCCTGGAAGGTCACACCAGCTGGGGAGTAGCCCACACTGGACAGCTGGACATTGCGGTAGAGGCGCAGCTCACTGGGCGGCTTCTGTGAGTTGGAAAAGAGACTGCGGAGGGTGAAGCGTGAGGAGATACCGTCCCGCAAGGGCTTGACCAGGTCCTCCCGCAAGAGCCGGAAGTGAGTGTCCAGGTAGGACCGGTCACTCTTGTACCTGGAGCCACAAAACCACAGAATTAGAAGGGAGCCTCAATGGTGGAGACCACATAAAATATACTCAAATAACATCAATGGTTTAAACTCTCCAAATAAAAACTTTGTTTTTTCAAGAGGGATATCCCAGATATCCCGGAGCACAATTTGCAATTGTTTTTCAATGAATATCTCATCATCAAGTCTCAACCTATTTAACATAGTTTGTGGCACCAAAACAAAGATTCTGGAGTATAGCAACTCCTTTCAAATTCACATTTCACTCTCGTTTCCCAATGATTGAATTGTCTCGTAGCGTCTCCACTAATTTAACATTGCTGGTGGGCACAACAACAAAGTTTCTGGAGCACAACTACTTTCAAAGTAAGGACTACACAACTAAACAGGAAATAACACTTTCAAATTAGGAACGTGTTTTCCTTATTATTATTATTCAGAGGCTGGATAGCTATCTGTCGGGGGTGCTTTGATGGTTTCTACACTATGGCTTTTGTTCCTCAGTTATACACATCACCCGCTCCTACAGACAAGTGTTCTTTCTCCCATCCTGGACCTTCCATGATATATAAACCCAAATTTCCTAGTTTCCTAGACTTCACAACCTCTGAGGATGCCTGCCATAGATGCAGGTGAAACGTCAGGAGAGAATGCTTCTAGGACATGGCCAGGCAGTCCGAAAAACCTACATCCATCTATCCAGATAATTTGCAAAAAAAAAGTCACTTACCAACCACTTGCCAACTAACTCTTTGCAACCCATTTTAAAGGCCAATTTATTTATTTATTTATTTCAGTTACTTTTACCCCGCCCTTCTCAACCCCCAAGGGGGGACTCACAAAAAAGGCACAATTCGATGCCTACATAGAGTACAAGTACATATAAAAACAGCAAACAACATTTATCACAATTAAACAATCAATGTATAACACGATCACTGAAAACTCATCACGAGCTCAGCGTGCGTCTTTCAGAGTTCCATAATTCCATTCCATTTGTCAATTCCATTCTATCGCCACGTCCTTTTTTCATCTGCCTGGTTGTCCAAATGCCTGATCCCAAATCCATGTTTTCAATTTTTTTCTGAAGGAAAGGAGGTGTTGGGGTTCAGCCTGAGTTTGAACTTGAACCTGATTCTCTGTTTGTTCCTCCTGATGCAAATGAAAGTATATTTACTGATGCTAGTGGAAATGTACCTTTTGATGCCAATGCTCCTGAAATTAGTGAGGAAGAAACTGCTGTGGGTTTGGAAAATGCCAATGTTCCTGAAATTAGTGAGGAAGGAACTTCTGTAGATTTGGAAAATGAAAGTACCAGTGTTCATGAGAATGTTTCAGAGGGAGACCTTGAACTTTCCCTCCTTTCTGCACCTGTTAACTGTAATGACAACAGAAGGGGCCAAATTTGGGAAGACAGAAGTAAATCACTCAGTTTGCGTCGATCCTCCCAAATTCAAGAATTAAAAACATTGGCTTCAAAACAGAAGGGCGGTTCACGGAACCAATTCTTGAGTTTTAATTGCAATACGCCGGGCTGATTGTCTCAGTTCAGGCATCGTTTCAGAATTGATGAAGACCTTGGCAGTTCTCCCGGTTCCCTGGCCATAGTTTGGGAAGATTTCTAGGATATCAAGTACGGTTAGTGGATTGCTAACAGGTTCCAGTATTTCACAGTGAGGCTTTTGGTTTTGCTTTGTCCATTTAAATTCATGTTTGCTGATTTTGCTGTGGCTTTTGACTTGCATTTTTCCTTTATTTTGTAACCATTTTTCTTCAATAAAAAAGGATTGTTTTTCACAGCCAAGTGTGGTGGATAGTTATCTTAGGGCCTCGTTCCCTGCTCTGGATTGCAACAGGAGGGATGTCGCCGATCTAATTTCCCCCGGGAGTGAATTCCACAGGTGAGGGGCCACCACCGAGAAGGCCCTGCTTCTCATCCCCGCCAGTCACACTTGTGATAGAGGCGGGGTCGAGAGCAGGGCCTCCCCAGAAGATCTTAAACTCCGAGGTGGGACGTAGAGGGAGATCCGTTCAGACAGATACGCTGGGCCGGAACCGTATAGGGTTTTGTAGGTCAAAACCAGCACTTTGAATTGTGCTCGGAATTGGATCAGCAGCCAGTGGAGCTGACATAACAGGGGGTGGTATGCTCCCTGTATGACGCTCCTGTGAGTACTCTGGCTGCCTCCCGCTGGACTAGTTGAAGTTTCCGAACAGTCTTCAAAGGCAACCCCACGTAGAGTGCGTTGCAGTAATCCAATCGAGATGTAACAAGAGTGTGGACCACTGTGGCCAGATCCGACTTCCCAAGGTATGGGCGCAACTGGTGCACAAGATTTAATTGTGCGAAAGCTCTCCCGGCCACCGCTGAGACCTGGGTTTCCAGGCTCAGCGATGAGTCCAGGATCACTCCCAAGCTGCGAACCTGCGTCTTCAGGGGGAGTGGGACCCCGTCTAACACAGGCTGTCACCCTATGCTACACTTGAAGCCTACGCCATGTGATGAACACCATAGGTTCCAGTTTCTTAAGTGGGTGGCCCAGTAGCACTTAATGAATGTGATAAAGTGGTAAGACTCCTAAACCCCTTTCCCATGGACTGTTTCCAAGCCGGGCCTCACCTGCCAGACACGAGGTTGGGCTTCAGCGTCGCGGTGGGCTCCAGGAATATATCCTCCGGTGTGGGGAAGACCGGGACGAGGCAAAAGTCATCCCGGTTGGCCAGAGACTCAAGGCCAGCTCCTCTGGGCCCGCTTGACCCTTGGAAGGCGGCGTCCAACAGCCCCTTGGTGTCCTTGAGCTGCTTCTGGGTGACCCAGGCAAAGAGGAGGCCGCGGCTCTGGAGCCTCTGGACCGTGGCGCAGAGTAGGTCCACCGGGTAGCAGAGCAAAGTCTGTGCCTTTTCAGGGGCAGCTTCTAATAAGTGGTGGAGGGCGGCCACCGTGTCCACCATGACCTCCCGTGAGACCTCTCCGTCCGGACAGTGGAAGGTCTCCAGGCTGGCGATGAAGCCCAGCAGGCTCCGGAGCACGAAGGCCGGCCTCAGGACCAGATCCAGCACCGGACGGACATCCTGGGCTCCCGGTGGCCCCTCCAGCACATGCTTGACCACCCGCAGCAGAGTATGGACATCCCTGGGGCCGAGGCCGGGGCCGTCCAGCACTCGGGACAGATCGTCCTCGTGGGCCTGGAAGAAGGACAGCAGCTGCTCCCTGTAGCCGCGGTCGGAAAGTCGCATCAAAGCCATCATGACGTCTGGCGGACTCTCCGGCCGCCTGGGAGGACCAGAGGACAGCCTGCGGGCTTTGCATGGCGGAGAGCGGGACCCTCTGGATGGGAAATGGCTCCAGCCCCGCTTTTGGGGGCCCGGCATCCTCTAATGGGGTCAGCCCCAAAGCCTGGAAAAAAGAGACACCAAGGAAACCCATTAATACTTGTATCCATTGATAGGTAAAGGTAAAAGTTTTCCCCTGACATTAAGTCCAGCCGTGTCCAGTTCTGTGACTCTGTTGCTCATCTCCATTTCTAAGCCAAAGAGCCAGCATTGTCCATAGACACATCCAAGGTCATGTGGCCATGGGCATGACTGCATGGAGTGGTGTTACCGTCTCGCCGGAGCAGTACCTATTGATCTACTCACATTTGCATGTTTTTGAATTGCTAGGTTGGCAGGAGCTGGGGATAACAGCAGGAGCTCACCCTGCTCCTCAGATTTGAACCACTGACCTTTTGGTCAGCAAGTTCAGCAGCTCAGTGGTTTAACCCACTGTGCCCCCAGGGACACTCATTGATATTTGCACTCATTACAGGCAGTTTCTGAGTTACAAACACCCAACTTACAAAGTGTTGCACGCCAGGGCAGGAATAACCCTCTGATTTTAAAACACCACACGTTGAGTAGGAAAACAATCCTTTTTTTATTGAAGGTAAGTAAAAGCAGCAAAGTAGAAAAACATTTTAAGGGAATAGATAAATCCAATTAGGTAAGAAGATAAGCAGGAACAAATTAGTCCAAGGTAGGGTTCAGCCAAGTTCAAAACCAAAATCCAGACTTCTCTAATAAAAGAAACAGGGAAACATTAATCCAAGGCATAGGTAATCACAAAAGACAAAGAGTCAGACCATACGGCAAGAAATCCTTAAACATGAACCTTCTAAGCAAGGCTTTCATGAGACAAGAGCAAGAACTTAGCAGGAATATGAAACGATGCTTCCTCTGACTATATTTCCCATGCTTGGAACTTTATATCCTCACATTAAGCCATTCCAAGCACTCAGAAATTGGTTTCGTTTTCCCTGAATGCCTCTCATCCTTATCTGTCGAAGCCTGGCAGAACACCAAGGTCTTGGTCGAGCTGTCTGTTTTGACTAATTTCCACCCGCCTGTCTAAACGCTCATTAGTCCCTGCAGGTGCCAAGTTGTTTTCAAGCCTCAAATCCTGGGAACTCTCTGGGAGCAATTCAGGGAGTAAACCATTAGGCCTGTGCGGTTTCGTTCGTTAATTCGTTAATTTGTTAAACATTCGTTAATTTTTGCATATACGAAACGATAACAAAACATATTTTCAAACCTGGAAGGGTTTTTAAATATCGAAACGGCAGGCGCCAAAAAATTTTGTATTTCCGTCCATTTCGGAAATACGTAAGATGGCTGCCTGGCTTGCTGGGAGCTCTCCTCTCTCCGCGCCGGCTGAGCAAGCGAGCGAGAGGGCGAGCGAGAGGGCGAGGGGCGAGAGGGCGAGCGAGAGGGCGAGCGGCGAGCGAGAGGGCGAGCGAGAGGGCGAGCGGCGAGCGAGAGGGCGAGCGAGAGGGCGAGCGGCGAGCGAGAGGGCGAGTGAGAGGGCGAGCGGCGAGCGAGAGGGCGAGCAGAGGGCGAGCGGCGAGCGAGAGGGCGAGTGAGAGGGCGAGCGGCGAGCGAGAGGGCGAGCGAGAGGGCGAGCGGCGAGCGAGAGGGCGAGCAGAGGGCGAGCGGCGAGCGAGAGGGCGAGTGAGAGGGCGAGCGGCGAGCGAGAGGGCGAGCGGCGAGCGAGAGGGCGAGTGAGAGGGCGAGCGGCGAGCGAGAGGGCGAGTGAGAGGGCGAGCGGCGAGCGAGAGGGCGAGCGGCGAGCGAGAGGGCGAGGAGAGGGCGAGCGGCGAGCGAGAGGGCGAGCGGTGAGCGAGAGGGCGAGCGGCGAGCAAGAGGGCGAGTGAGAGGGCGAGCGGCGAGCGAGAGGGCCCGCCAGAGTGAGTGCCTGCCTTCCCTTAATTTCTCCTCCCTATTCTACTAAATTATTTAATAATTAAATTTAAAAAATATTTAAAAAATATTGAAAAAAAAAAGGCCCCATCTTTACAAAATGTTTTGTTAATATTTACGAAATTTCGTAAATACCGAAACTTTTTTTGGAAAGTTTTGTAATTATTTTAAATATCGAAACAAAAAAACACCCCAATTACAAATCGATTTTAGAAACAAATTTTTTCTTGATCAAACAGGCCTATAAACCATCATCCCTATACTCTGTAGGAACATTCTCATGGGAAACTACACTTTGAATCGACGTCTCTATGTCATTCTCTGCATTAATATCATTGACCAAACCATTGCCATCTTGACCCTCATTGACATCCTTCCCCACATCCAAAGCACCTTGATCTTGAAACACAATCGCAGACTGAACCCCAACACCTAGTTAAGAATGGGGCTGAAACCATGAGAAGTGAGAGGAATCTTCCCCTTGGAAGGAAAGAAGGGAAATGCACTTCTGGAAGAGTTATTATCATGAGGAAGTGGGGTCACCACTGAAGCTTTACCCCATTCCTTGTTTCCACAATAAGTCAACGTTTCCAAAATGTGCACCCATTACAAGCCATCCCCAAGTTGCAAACACCCGACTTACAAATTACTCATAGTTAAGAACAGTGGGGCTGAGAGGAATCTTCCCTTTGGAAGGAAGGAAGGGAAATCCACTCCTGGAAGAGTTCTTCTGATGGGGAAAGGGGTCTCCGCTGAAGCTTTCTCTCCAATCCTTGTGTCCATAACAAGCCTCATTTTCCAAAACCCAATTCTCACAGGGACAGAAACAGAGCTGACATCTTCTGAACATAGAAACACACAGCAAAGGAAACACCACAGGGGTGTTGACCTTTCTCAATGCTATCCAAGGCTTTCATATATCAACTACACCCCAGAGTACTGAAGGAACTAGCAGAAGTCATTAAGGAACCATTGGCAACCATCTTGGAGAGTTCTTGGAGAATGGGAGAAGTTCCAGCAGATTGGAGGAGGGCCAATGTGGTCCCAATCTTCAAGAAGGGAAAAAAGGATGACCCAAACAATGACCAATCTCTGGTCAGCCTCACGTCGATACCAGGCAAGATGCTGGAAAAGATGGTCAAGGAAGTGGTCTGCAAACACTTAGAAACAAATGCGGTCATCGCTAAGAGTCAACATGGATTTATCAAAAACAAGTCATGCCAGACTCATCTGATCTCTTTTTTCGATAGAGTTGCAAGCTGGGTAGATGCGGGGAATGATGCTGTGGATGGAGCGTGTCTGGATTTCAGGAAGGCCTTCTTCGACAAGGTCCCCCATGACCTTCTGCAAGGAAACTAGTCCAATGTGGACTAGGCAAAACTACGGTGAGGTGGATCTGGAATTGGTTAAGTGGACGAACACAGAGAGTGCTCACTAATGCTTCCTCTTCATCTTGGAAAGAAGTGACAAGTGGAGTGCCGCAGGGTTCCATCCTGGGCCCGGTCCTGTTCAGGATCTTTATTAATGACTTAGATGAAGGGCTAGAAGGCAGGATCATCAAGTTTGCAGACGACACCAAATTGGGAGGGAGAGCCAAGACTCCAGAGGACAGGAGCAGGATTCAAAATGATCTTGACAGATTAGAGAGATGAATGGGCAAAACTAACAAAATGAAGTTCAAGAGGGACAAATGCAAGATACTCCACTGAGGCAGAAAAAACGAAATGCAAAGATACAGAATGGGGGACAATGAGGCCTGGCTCGAGAGCATGACGTGTGAAAAAGATCTTGGAGTCCTCGTGGGGAACAAGTTAAACATGAGCCAGGAATGTGATGTGGCGGCAAAAAAAGCCCATGGGATTTTAGCCTGCATCAAGAGGAGCCTAGTGTCTAGATCTAGGGAAGTCATGCTCCCCATGCTCTATTCCGCTTTGATTAGACCACACCTGGAATATTGTTTCCAATTCTGGGCACCACAATTCAAGAGAGAGATTGACAAGCTGGAATGTGTCCAGAGGAGGGCGACTAAAATGATCAAGGGTCTGGAGAACAAGCCCTATGAGGAGCGGCTTAAGGAGCTGGGCATGTTTAGCTTGAAGAAGAGAAGGCTGAGAGGAGACATGATAGCCGTGTATAATAAATATGTGAGGGGAAGTCATAGGTAGGAGGGAGCAAGCTTGTTTTCAGCTTCCATTAAGACTAGGATGCAATGAAACAATGGCTTCAAACTACAAGAGAGGGGATTCCATCTGAACACAAGGAAGAACTTCCTGACTGTGAGAGCCGTTCAGCAGTGGAACTCGCTGCCCCGGAGTGTGGTGGAGGCTCCTTCTTTGGAAGCTTCTAAACAGGGGCTGGATGGCCATCTGTCGGGGGTGATTTGAGTGCAATATTCCTGTTTCTTGGCAGAATGGGGTTGGACTGGATGGCCCAGGAGGTCTCTTCCAACTCTAGGATTCTAGGATTCTATGATTTCAAGTTTGTTCGACAATTATGGCAGTGAGAGTACTCTATGTGCAAAAATGAATGTTGAAATATGATTTACACTAATTAATATTTGCACTTGTTGGTCAACAGCCATAGCAATCGAGTGGAGAAACCCATTCCTACTCTTTTCTCGTCATCAACCGCTCAAGGAGGGAGCTTTAAGATGGTTGAACAGAAAGGACTTCAAATCGAAAAAAGCAAAAAGACACAACAGCACATGCACAAAAAGGACTCCTCCCCGGCAAACAAAACACACAATAGCATATCCACACTCTCTCCAGCACTCTCTCCAGCATCCCCTAGACCAGGCCTTTTAGGAGAGGAGGATGATCCAAATGCACTGCTTCCAAGATGCAAGCTTTCTTCTCCTTGGATTTCTTTGAGAGCATCCCCATCCCTGTATCTTTCCCATTTCCTATTCCTGGACTGCAACTCCCAGCAATCCTCCAGATAGATTAGATAGAAATAGATAGGTAGGTAGACCGATTGATCAGGAGAACTGCTGGGAGTTGTAGTCCAGGAATAGGTAGAGAAGGGAGAAGAGAAAGAAGAAAGAGAGAAAGAGGGAGGGAGAAGAGAGAAAAGGGGAGGGAGAAGAGAAAGAGGGAGGGAGAAGAGAAAGAAAGAGGAAGGGAGAAGAGAAAGAGAAAGGGAGAAGAGAAAG